CATGCTTCCGTACTGGGGCCGTCTGTCGACGCTCCCGTCGAGGCTGCTACTTCTGAAATAGCACAGCTGTCTTGAGCTTTGACTTATTATGGCGCACGAGGAATGCTAGTCACGTGACTCGTTTTGTGTGTTGATTGTAGGAGAGGGAAAGCTTCCTCATACCATACATGTGTCTTCATGTAAAGATTTATAAACTAATGAACTATAAGAATCGAAACCAGCGTTTGTGGTGTACTTTGCTGGCAAAAGGCAAACATCCGATTCCCAAACAGGAAAGTCCTGCAGAGTATAACCATAATTTTTTATCAAGGCTGAAGACGTATATAATATGGGCTGCATAATCTATGTTGTGTCTATGGATGTGTAAAACATTTTTTGATCAATGTCATTAGAATATATGCAAGGCAGAGAGGATCACTATTAGTACTAGTCATGTAGATATTGGCAGTGTATGTTAAAAGTCGTAATTCGACCGGCGTTGTCCTCTAAATAAGTGTAATCTTTTACACGATAGGTTGCGGGCAAGGAAGTCAGTTTTAATATAGGCTCTAGTGCTTACGACATTGGCATCGCATCATGGAGGTCCCATTTTAATAATATTTGGGGCTAAAAAGGAGGGAGAGATTCAATTAATTGAGAGAGAGCCCACTTACCCTCCCCCCATCCCCTTTTCCACCCCCCCCCAAAAAAAAAAAAACTACAAAAAACAAAACAAAGAACCCCCCAAAAACCTCAATTGTTTAAACTGGGGCTTAATCAGTGTGTACGAGCTGATGTGTACATCCCGTCTGAGATTTATATGTATATCTTGTATGGCGTATTCTAGTCTGCTTTGGGTGGTTTCCCTCCTGATTTTGTTCCCGTTTTATTTTATTATTATGACTAGTTCATGGTTTTATGAAACAGTATTGTGGGTTTTGCATCCTCTCTGTTCCTTATTCTGTGGTTTGTTTACATCATTGTTCATGCTACGTTCAGTGTTGCTTCCCTCTTTTGGTGGCGTGATCTTAGATACGATTGGTCGCCAAGGCTTTACACTTGGGTACACCTGGATTTTCCATGCGCTCCTTGAAATCTTGATAGCTTGGAATTTAGTTCTCCTTTCCATCCATCCATCCATCCATTCATCCACACATCCATCCATCCGTCCATCCGTCCATCCGTCCATCCGTCCATCCATCCATCCATCCGTCCATCCGTCCAT